GTACTAGAATAGTAATCGGTTCCTATGTTTCATCCTTCCTGCCAGCACAGAAAGTCACTGGCATCTTTTCTCCATAGAATACTATATCTGGGTTCATTTTGATGCAAGTTGAAGAAACTATCTTCTAGCTTAAGAAAAAGAAGAGATTTTACTTCACAGTCCCAGAGGCAACTTAGAGCAAATAAGGGCAGCACACATTGCCATTCATAGCAGCTTCAGTAGTCAGAGCTGCCTCTGGAAAGCATGAAGTAAGTCAACTGTTTTCTCTCAGTTGCATGGCCTATGCTTAGTGTTTATTCGAATGCCAAATATAGCATGGAGTGGGTGCTATAAATATTTGAATGATCAAATGAAAGGGTTACCTCTGTCTGTGGAGAAAGATCAGCTACACCAAACAGCTTCTCAGCTGCTTTTCAGAACTGCTGACTCACTAGCTTATCTTTGCTTTACAATTTAAAATTCCTAGGAAAAGAATCTGGTTGACCCAACTCTAGCAGTAGGTTGATTATCTCTCTATTGTCTAATCAACTTTTTCTACATGGCTGGGGTTATATACGCTGAGTGACAAAGGCAGATGACAGGGAAAGGACATTTCTGAGCAGGGTCCAAAGATGTATCTGCTAAAACTGTGATTAAATGCTCACCAAAACTCTTCTAGATATTTAAATCCACAGGCTCTTTTGTAGTGTAATCATGATACTCTTCTCATTAGAAGAGTCCTTTATTGTTGATTATATCTGGGCAGGAATTATGACTTCCTCAGAGTAACTACAGTTTCTAAACCAATATCTCAAGTGGTCTTGAGTATGTTGTCCCATCATTGGAGGAATCTCCTCTACATGTTAGTGCTGTGGGATGTTCTGTATGGCAAATGTGTTGCTAATTAGTCAATAAATAAAACACTGATTGGCCATTGGCTAGGCAGGAAGTGTAGGCGGGACAAGGAGAATAAAGCTGGGAAGTGGAAGGCTGAGTCAGAGAGACACTGCCAGCTGCCACGATGAGAGACAGCACAGCATGTGAAGATGCCGGTAAGCCACGAGCCATGTGGCAAGGTATAGATTAATGGAGATGGATTAATTTAAGCTGTAAGAACAGTTAGCAAGAAGCCTGCCACGGCCATACAGTTTGTAACCAATATAAGTCTCTGTGTTTACTTGGTCGGGTCTGAGCGACTGTGGGACTGGCAGGTGATAGAGATTTGTCCTGACTGTGGGCCAGGCAGGAAAACTCTAGCAACAAATGGCGTCCAATGTGGTGGCAAGAGTTTCCATCTAAAAACTGAGAAAAAAGATTCTAAAACGGAGCTAAAAACAGTTCCTAATTGTCTCTCTCAAATGAGTGGCAGCTGCTGGTTTGAGCTACTTGTGGGTTTCTGGTGTGCGCGCTCGACCTGCCTTATGGCGGGAATGAGGCCTCTGCAAGTGGCACATTAAGCTGTGTGGTGGATTTAGACTTTGCTAGTACAAAACAAAAAAAGAGGTTTCTGGACTACACGCTGCTTGGATAAAAGCATAGACCCACGATAGCTCCCAGAGCTGGTGGTAAACGTAGCCATGCTGGGAAGCTGAGGTGGGCGGAGCCAGCAGCCACAGCTGCTGCAGTTTAAGGCAATAGATTCACAATAAGACAGATTCAGATGTAAGAGTTTACAGTGTGTGTAAAAGATACGTAGGCTTTAAAGAGATAAAAAAAAGGTGATATATACAGTTATAGAAACAAACACATAGTTTTAAAAAATAAAGTCTTTAAAGAGACAGTAAAATTAATATAAAAAATAAGCCACATGAAGATGAATATTACACAGAGAATCTGGATTGTGTTGTTTTTGGGATTTTTAACTGCAGAAAAACATTTGATCATAAAAGATGTTGAGTTAAACCAGTATGTATATTTTAAAGATACCTTGACTTCAAAATTTGGATGTAAGGATGTGTTGCTTTGGAAAAGAGTCTCTGCTTTTGTTTCCACAGAAAGCCAGAGGCTATGGATTTGTTCAAGATTAAGATACATCAGGTTTGACCAGCCAAGACCCCCTGAAAGGTCTCCGAAGACACCATGGCCCAGATGATCCAACATCCAGAACGGTTTGAAGGCATCTGGCTCAGACGATACAGCCTCATGGACTATTCCATAATCCTAAAATTTTCTTTGTTTCCCCATAAGATACAGTGCCCCCCTCCAGCAGGAAGTAGTAAGAGAAGCTACGCCCAAATTCCCAAATTATATGTAATTTTACTTTGTTAAGGTTAAAACCTTCCTTTTTGAAAAAAAAAAAGGGAAGTGCTGTGGGATGTTCTGTATGGCAAATGTGTTGCTAATTAGTCAATAAATAAAACACTGATTGGCCCTTGGCTAGGCAGGAAGTGTAGGCGGGACAAGGAGAATACAACTGGGAAGTGGAAGGCTGAGTCAGAGAGACACTGCCAGCCGCCACGATGAGAGACAGCATGTGAAGATGCCGGTAAGCCACGAGCCATGTGGCAAGGTATAGATTAATGGAGATGGATTAATTTAAGCTGTAAGAACAGTTAGCAAGAAGCCTGCCACGGCCATACAGTTTGTAACCAATATAAGTCTCTGTGTTTACTTGGTCGGGTCTGAGCGACTGTGGGACTGGCAGGTGATAGAGATTTGTCCTGACTGTGGGCCAGGCAGGAAAACTCTAGCAACATGTTAGCTACAGGGAGTCCTAAGTCAGTAAGCAAATATTGCTAAATGTGACAGCAAAGCTCTACTGAATGTTTTGGCCATAGTAGAGCCTCACATGTGAGTGCCCCAAGTAATATCACCAAATGTATAGTAGATACACAAAACAGCTTAGATTTTAGGTCTTTATACTTTGAGGTAACTTATTATGAAGAGATGGATATACAGTTTTCATAAAGTTTAGCAGGTTCTTTTGTTCTTTAATTGCCCAAGAAGATAGTAAAAGTTGCGACTTGAAATGGCGCCAAAGATTTTAATATGTTAACTGCTTACCAAAAAATATTCCAAAGCCAACTAGGCTGAAAAGAGAAAACAATGCCCTGGGAAGGACTTGAAATTCTTCTTAGCATTAGAGTAGAAAATTAGCTGTGCTGTTGTTTAAGCTAATTGACCTCAGTTTAATAAGAACTGAAACACACATATAGAAAGAGTTTGGGGCTGGGCAGTGGTGGTGCAGCCACATTTAATCCTAAAACTCGGGAGGCAGAGGCAAGTGGATCTCTGTGAGTTCAAGGGTACACAGAGAAACCCCACCTTGAAAAAAAAAAGGAAAAGAAAGAAGAAAAAGAAAGAAAGAACATCTTCGGATACCATTTACTGGATAGCATACATGACTATCATTTATTTATTTATTTATTTGCTTATTTTATTTGTTTGTTTGTTTGTGTATGTATATATGTGTGAACCTGCATGTCTGTATGTGGGCCATGCAAATACAGGTGCTGTGGAGGCCAGAACAGGGCATCAAATCCCCTAGAAATAGTCACAGATGGCATGAGCCACCCAATATTGACTGGACTCAGGTCATCTAGAAGAATGTGTGTTCTTTCACCACTAAGACATTGCTGCAGCCCCCCCCCCCATGTATCAGGTTTTTGTGGGAGTTAAATTAAATGCAGTAATTTATAGATAACTGTTATAAAAATCTGTGGTGTAGTGAATGTCCTGTATAAGTCCAAACTTTATTTCTCAAAGAGCAATGTGAAGCTTAATTTGTGGCAAATTTTCCTACTTACTAAGTAGGAAAATTGTAAACACAGCTATGTAAAGAACATCTAAATTAAGACAACACATAGACTTGTGTCTTTTGATCCATACATGCCACCCCAGAAGGTAATTTTGCTCTACCATCCATTCTAGGTGCGTTCTAGCAAGCAGAAGTGGCAGTCCAGCTTTCTCTTCCATAACAGTCTAGCTCTTCTGCCAACTAAGAACCCCAGTCACCATTCTGAGCTGTTCTGGAAAACTCCCATAGTAAAGCTCTTTGACAATGAGGTTTGGTGAAGTGTGGAAATGCTATCAAGCATCATATCTCTGATAGCTGAGCACTTGCTATGGCTTATCTTATTCATCAACTTGATTGGATTGATAAATGCCTAGATTAGTAAAGAGCATCTCTGAGTAAGTCCGCTAGGTGTCTCCAGAGATAACTAGATCTGGAGTTATACGCTAATGTTTTTCCTGGTATGTGCCGAAATGTAAGAGATGGGGCCCAATTGCAGGAAAGTCACCAGGGGCAGCCTCTTGCGTGATATTTCTGGTCCTGGCTCTTTCCTGTATTGCTTCCTGACTGTGTGTCATGTGACTGACACTTCTGAATCCAAGAGCCAAAATTAATCCCACCTCTCTTAAGTTGTTTCTGTCTTTCATCACATAAACAATTAGACTAACTAGTACAGTACTTTATACTAGCATGTTATGGCCTTGAGAAATCATATAATAAAACACACAGAGAGAAAGACACCAACAGCCCTTTTATGTAAATGAGACGTATCTTTTTTTATTGTTGCTTTTTTATTGAAACAGATTTTTTTCATACAATATATTCTGATTATGGTTTCCCCTCCACCAACCTCTCCCAGATCCCCACCCCTCAACTCTCCATCCAAATCCATATCCTTTCTTTCTTTTTCTCATTAAAATACAAATAGACATCTAAAAATATTAATGAAATAAAACAATAAAAAAGAATAGGAGTAACAAACAGAAGAAAAGGAGTCAAAGATAACACACAAGAAACTCCTATAGAGACACGCTTGTTCCCACACACAGAAATCCAATAAAAACCCAATACTAGAACCATAATATATTTAATGAAGTGACTTTCTTTCTTTCTTTCTTTCTTTCTTTCTTTCTTTCTTTCTTTCTTTCTTTCTTTCTTTCCTTTCTTTCTTTCTTTCCTTCCTTCCTTCTTTCTTTTCTTTCTTTCTTTCTTTCTTTCTTTCTTTCTTTCTTTCTTTCTTTCTTTCTTTCTTTCTTCTTTTTCTTTCTTTCTTTCTTCCTTCCTTCCTTCTTTCCTTTCTTCCTTCCTCTCTCTCTCTTTTTCTCTCTCTCTTTCTTTACTTTTTCTTAAATAGAGTCTCATGTACTCCAGGCTGACATCAAACTCCATATAGAGCCAAGGATGATTTGGGTCTTCTCATCTTCCTATCTCTACCATTCTAGTGCTTAGATTACAGATAGGCAGTACCACACCAAGTTTATGTGGTAATGGTGAGCAATCCCAGAGCTTCAGGCAAGGTACACAAGCACTCTGCCAGCTGTCATCTCTAGCCCCAGTATATCCTTTTAGCATGCCACAGAACTAGTGCATATCAGGATTCACAGTGAAAAGTATGGAGGAAAAGTTAGCCTCATACTTCCTTTACTGAAGGAAGATAGCAAGATTCCAGGGGTGCAAGGACTCACAGGCTGTTTCCAAACTTCACTTTGTCATCCAGCTCCTGTTCTATTTCTCCTTTCTTTGTTTTTTCCAGTATAGTGTGTAGATGTAACCAACCATCTTATTAAATAAGAAACACAGAGCCGATTCAGAGAAGAAAGCCAAGAGGTCAGAGCTAAGAGCCTTACCTGCTCAGGGATCCTCTTCAGCCAAGAGAGCTCTCTGAAAGGGACCTACTTTCTGTGTGTTTGTCTTTATATAGTCTTTCTGTTCTGCCTTCTCATTGGTTGTAAACCCAAACACATGACTGCCTCGTCACTGCCTGTCTGTAGAGACTTCCAGGTCTTCTATGGTTGGGACTGAGATTAAAGGTATGTGTCTCCAATGCTGGCTGTATCCTTTTACACACAGAGATCTACCTAGCTCTGTCTACCAAGTGCTGGGATTAAAGGTGTGCACCACCACCGCCACGCTCTTGCTATGGCTCTAATAGCTTTGACCCCCTGGGCAACTTTATTAACATACAATTAAAATCACATTTCAGTACAAATAAAATACCACCATATTTCCCCTTTTCTATTTTATAAAAAGAAAAACAGAAAAAGGTTATAACTAACAAAAGAAAAACTATATACAAAAGTACAATAACTATAAGCAATATATGCAAGTAATAAATACCTAAACAATGTCTGATCCATTTGTAATTGACAAATTCAGAGAAAATAATTTCATTATCTATCCTATTATGTTAAGTCCAAAATGTATCTAATTCACTTTCTATCCTAATTAATCTTCAACTATAACTAACTAACCTTCAATTATAACTAACTAATCTTCAACTCCCTCAGAGACCCAAGAAGGAAATAATATTACCTAATAAAATTAAAAACAGGAAGTACATGCAAGCAACTTCCAAAAAATTTGTGAGTTGACAGAAACACCCAGCTGCCTGGACAGTCACCTGAGGTTTCTCCGCAGTGTTGGGGCATCATCTTCAGCCTATAGGCTTAGTGTATCTGACAGACTCATTTGTGAAGTAGGATGTACACAAGGTCAACAGTTCAACCTCACATTGGGTGAGAGCAGTCCATGTACCAGAAACACCTGAAATCCACTAGTGTCATGTCATGATTCAGGATTTTAAATTCTGGAAATTGTTGATGTCTTTTGAATTCATCTGTCCATTGTTCTTGGCTGTGTATATATGGCTTCATCTCAGCATTCCGTTCTTCTCCACATCCCTTTATCAAAAGCCAGTCTACTTTTGAGAGGCATGAGCTTAGTTACTCTTCAAGAATAACTATTTCAGCTGCTGTTCCATAGCACATCAGAAGCCATTGTCCCACTGCCTTTTCAGCTGCCTTCGAAGAAAAGGGCACTGTACATTTTCCAAATTGAGAAGGCCACTTCAGGGATGGTGCCATATTGTCCTGGCCTCAGAAGATGACTTTTGATAAAGCCATAACCACACTTGTTTTGGAAAGAATCAGTAGTCCTTTGTTTCATGTCCTGTCTGTCCATTTTGTCAGCAGTTGATTCAAGGATACTTTGTTGTCCAGTGGCTAAGTTTTGCCACAATGAAAGTAAACTCCATATGCAGTTTCTTCAATGCCCATATTTTCTCTGAAGAGGATTGGTACTGCCAGGAGCCGACATGTCTCATAAAAGAAAAATTTTCAAAGTTATTAAAACATTTTAAATGCCATATTCTGTAGATCTCTGAAGGGTTTGAAGATGACCTCTCTAAAATATATCTGCTCAATTTTTTAAAACATATCTAATATGACTACAAGTTCTATTGTAATGTCTAACTACTTTCATTTCTTTATATCCTAATAGTTGGTAATAATAACATTCAAGGATCAGAAAATTGCATTGTTAAATGAATGGTATAAGTACAATTAGAAATATACATATAGCATTTTCTAACAATATCAATTTCAATATATATAATTTGTATCCAATATAAAACAATCCAATCCAATGTAAAGTATTTAAAACTAGTAATTGTCTTTTTCTTTTCTTTTTTTTCTCTTTTTTTAAACAAGAACCCTAAATCTAATCTCCTTTGCTTAGCCTTTTTCCTAACCCTTGACAACAACTTGTAACCAACCCCCCTAAACAATGAAAATTATCCCAGACCCCAAACCCATTAAAAAGACCAAAAAAACCACCTGCCCCACACCACCTCATTGGGAATGGGGGCATCGTATTCTTAAAATTGCTTCCTGCTGGGTATGGGCGAAGGTATCTTTATCCTGAAAAGAAAAATTTTAGGTTAATTGTCAAATTCTAGGAAAGGTAACTATATCCTTCGTTATCCAGTCTGTGTATAATGCCAAAGTTCAGGGTTTATCTTGTTCAAGTAGTCTTTGAGACTGGATCATCTCAGCTAGTCATCTCAAAATTTCTCTGAGCACCTTGTAGTTCAAAGCTGATCTGTAGATGATGTTTGTTAGCTTAGTGATATTATTATTTTCCACATGGAATTGTTGTTGTTGTGGGGCCCCATCATCTTCCTGGAGACTTCAGTTGATGTTAGGCCTGGCCGTGATTTCCTGCAGAAAACTGATAAGAGACTCGAACAAAAAGACATATATATGCAGCTAATTGAAGCCTTTTTTCTAGAATTAGTTAGTACTCTATATGACCATTCATATCTTAACAAAGTTTAAAATGTATATATATCTATATATCTATATATATTAATCTTGTAAATTTTGATATAAATTTATACTTTAAGAAAAGTTTAAAGAATCCGAATAGAATCAAAGAGTTGAGATTAGTAATAGAATAGTCCCTTAATTAATTTGGCTTTTCTCCTGTCCCATAGCAGAAGATGGCTTTTTATTCTGGCATGATACAGGGAGTTTGCATTTTCCTTTTAACAACATGCTTGAGTTTAAAGAAGGAGAGAGCCATTCTCCAACTCCAAAGTCAGCTTTAAATTTTAATTGAACTGGGATTATTAGAAGACCAATAGTGTTAAATCTTTAGAGAAAAGCAGAAACAAACATTTAGGAAGACATAAAATGTTTTAGATAATACATACCCATACACCTTTTCTCTCTGCTTCCTGGGATAGATGATTTGTCCCTTTTCTTCAGTTGTCTCATTTGTTCAGTGTTCTTCAGATTCCTTAAACTTCATTCTCCTAAAAGACAAAAACAGCCGGGCGGTGGTGGCGCACGCCTTTAATCCCAGCACTCGGGAGGCAGAGCCAGGCGGATCGCTGTGAGTTCGAGGCCAGCCTGGACTACCAAGTGAGTTCCAGGAAAGGCGCAAAGCTACACAGAGAAACCCTGTCTCGAAAAACCAAAAAAAAAAAAAAAAAAAAAAAAAAAAGACAAAAACAGAAACCTTCCCCCAAGACTAATTTTGGAGATGTTCCTTTTTGGCAAGTTATTATCTGATTAAATGAAAAGGCATGTGTTATTGGTATAAGTAAGTTTAAATTGGATGTTCATGCTGGTTGATGAATTATCACCTCCTCTATTTAAGAGGTTTTTCTTGTTCAAATCGAACCTTTATCAATTTTGATGGTACCCACCATCTTCTCCTGTAGAAACAAAAGCAAAACCTTGTCCCCAACGTAACACATACCCTGGTTTCCATTCTGAGGTCAGCACATCCTTAAAGTATATAGGCTGATTTAATTCTGTAGTTTTTTCTATTATCCAATGTCTCTCTGCAGCTGTTGTTCCTTTTTCATTGGCATTGAGAAAATTCAAAGTTAATAGAGCTTTATGCAGTCTATTTCTGGGTTTTTTTGTTACCCCTTTCTGTTTATTTAGCATATTCTTTAGAGTTCTGTTTGATCTTTCTATAACTGCTTGAACTGTAGGATTATGTGGTATGCCTGTAATATGCTTTATATTGTAATAAGCAAAAAACTGTTTCATTTTAACAGGGACATATGCTGGAGCATTGTCAGTTTTAATTTGTGCAGGTATGCCCATGATGGCCATAACTTCTAGCAAATGAGTGATTACAGAATCAGCTTTTTCAGAACTCAAAGCAGTTGCCCATTGAAATCCTGAATAAGTATCGATGGTATGGTGTACATATTTCAATTTTCCAAATTCTGCAAAATGAAACATGTCCATCTGCCAGATTTCATTTATTTGAGTACTCTTTGGGTTACATCCTGCTGGTAATGGTGTTTGATTGTAGAAGGAACAAGTAGGACATATCTTTACTATTTCTTTGGCTTGTTGCCAGGTAATGGAAAAATCCTTTTTTAAACCTTTACTATTGACATGATGTTTTTATGAAATTCTGAGGCCTCCAGCACATTTCCTATCAATAATTTATCAATCTCATCATCTCCTTGTGCTAGAGGGCCTGGCAGACCAGTATGGGATGGAATGTGAGTTATATATAAAGGATGACTCCTTTTCCTGATTGTATCTTGTAATTGAATAAATAGTGAAGTTAATTCTGAAGAATCAGGGATAAATTCTGCAGTCTTAATATTTAATACTACTCTTTCAGCATACTGAGAGTCAGTTAGTATGTTGAGAGGTTTTAAAAAATCCATTAATACCAACAGAATAGCATACAATTCTGATTTTTGAACTGAATTATGAGGACTTTGAACCACTTTACTTAAATTTTCTGATTTGTAACCTGCCTTTCCTTGTTTGTTGGCATCTGCATAAAATGTATGAACTCCAGATATGGGCTTTTCCCATACAATTCAAGGCAGGATCCAATCAGCTCTCTTTATAAGATCAATTCTATTGCTTTTGGGATATTTGCTGTTAATTTCTCCCAAAAAATTACTGCAAGCTCTTTGCCAAGGTTCACTTTCTGTCCATAATTTTTCAATGTCCTCCTTAGTTAAAGGTACCACAATTTCTGCTGGGTCTATTTCTGCTAATTGACGAAGTCTCAATTTTCCTTTCCAAATCAAGTCAGAGATTTTTTTCCACATAAGTTTTTAAATTTTTATTTGGTTTATTTGGTAAAAATATCCATTCCAATATAATATCTTCCCTCTGCATTAATATTCCTGTAGGAGAATGCCTAGAATGTAAAATAACCAAAATGCAATCCAGCTTTGGATCAATACGATCCATGTACACTCCATGTACTTTCTTTTCTACCAAGGCCAATTCTTTCTCAGCTACAGGTGATAATTCTCTTGGACTATTTAAGTCCTTGTCACCTTCTAAGGTTTTGAACAAATTATGCAGTTCATCATTTTTTATCCAACAATAGTTCTTAGATGAGAAATGTCTCCAAATAATCTTTGAAAGTGATTAAGAGTCTCTAGTCTATCTCTCCTAATTTGCACCTTTTGGGGTCTAATTTTTTGTAACTCTATTTTATATCCTAAATAATTAATAGAATCTCCTCTTTGTATCTTTTCAGGAGCAATTTATAATCCCCAGCAATGCAAAATTTTCTTTACTTCTTCAAACATTCTTTCTAAAGTATCTGCATTTGAGTCAGCTAGAAAAATATCATCCATATAATGATAAATTATAGATTTAGGTAATTTTTTACGTATCACTTCCAATGGCTGTTGTACAAAATATTGGCACAGAGTTGGGCTATTCAACATTCCCTGTAGAAGGACCCTCCATTGAAATCTTTTAACCGGTTGAGAATTATTATAAGTAGGTACTGTGAAAGCAAATCTTTCTCTGTCTTTTTCTTGTAAGGGTATTGAAAAAAACAGTCTTTTAAATCAATAACTATGAGAGGCCATCGTTTTGGTAACAGCGTAGGCGAAGGAATTCCAGATTGTAGAGAGCCCATTGGCTGAATTACTTTGTTAATTGCTCTATGGTCTGCTACCATTCTCCATTTACCAGATTTCTTTTTAATAACAAATACAGGAGAATTCCAAGGGCTGGTTGATTCTTCAATATGCTGAGCATTTAACTGTTCTTCTACCAGCTCTTCTAAAGCCTGGAGTTTCTCTGTTGTTAAAGGCCATTGCTGGACTCATACAGGCTTGTCTGTTAACCATTTTAAAGGTAGAACTGTTGGTGTCTTTTACAAGATCATAAGTTGTTGTGCCCTGTTCTTGAATAATATGGATGGCTGGTGACCAATCAGAATAATGCCTTCTAATACTTCTCTCAGAAACATGTGCTAGTTTATGATTTGTTTCTGAGATTGGAGGGATGTTAATCTGAGCATTCCATTGTTGCAACAGGTCTCGACCCCACAGGTTCATAGCTATGTTAGCCACATATGGTTTTAATTTTCCTCTCTGTCCTTCTGGACCTATACATTCGAGCCATCTTGGACTCTGTTTCACCTGAGATAATGTTCCAATTCCTAACAGTTGAATGTTTACCTCCTGAAGAGACCAAGTTGGATGCCAAAATTATGGTAATATCCACACCTGCGTCTACCAGACCAGAGAACAAAACACCATTTATTTTTATCGTTAATTTTGGTCTTTGTTCATTAATAGAAGTTTGCAAAAAAATTTCCTTTATGTTTTCTCCTGAATTTTCTATTCTCTCTGTTTCATCATCCTGACCAGCATGATTTATTCCATTAGGCATTTTGTTATTTAATTGCTCTGAGTAGGGGTTTCCTCTATGACTGCAGGAAAGGTCTGAACTGGATTTGCTATGGGGGCCTGCATGAGGCCCCTCTGGGAGTTTCCCGAAGACTGAGGCAAAGGATTACCCTGTCTGTCCCTTGTTGATTACATTCGTTGGTCCAGTGTTTTCCCTTACCATACCTTCTGCATACTCCAAAAGGAAGGGGCATTCTGTTGCCAGTGTTCCTTGAAGAAACATTGTTTCTAGGAATGACCTGTTTACAGTCCCCTTTCAAATGTCCTTGCTTTCCACATGGAAAACATCTAACATTCCTCAAACCTTTTGAAATTGCTTCTCCTACCCACATATCATCATGGTCATGAGACTCAACATTAACTGTGTCTCTAATCCAGTCTTCTAAAGGTGCAGATCTTGCCTTTAATGGCCTGATTATTCTTTTGCATGCTGCATTCGCATTCTCAAAGGCCAACAATTCAATTATTATCTGACTAGCTTCTGAATCCGAGACCATTCTCTTTACTGTTGAAGCCAGTCTTTGTAAAAAATCTGTGAAAGATTCTTTTTGGGCCTTGTATAACCTTTGTAAATGACTCGGTTTTTTTTCCTGGTTCCTCAACTCTGTCCCATGCATTCAAGCCTGCTGTTCGACATAAAATTAGGGTTTGGACATCATATAAACATTGTGTTTGTACTGAAGCATATTGACCTTCTCCAATAAGCTGATCCTAGCAGACTTGTATTCCTTTATCCCTCCATTGTTTTTCAATGTTTTTAACTTCATCCTTGAACCAAGTTAGCCACTGAAGCCTTTGAGTGGGTTCAAGAACAGCTTGTTCCAGCTCCCGCCAGTCCTGTGGTACAATCCTATTATATGTTGACCAGGAGTTTAACATTTGCTTTACATACAGGGAATGTATGCCATAAGATACTTTTGCCTCCTTAAACCTTCATATATCTAATATTTCTATTGGAGCCCAAATATTTTGTGTAGTCATTTGATTAGGCAACTGCTGTACAGTTCCTGGACAAATTAAGAGTGACTGTGTGTAAACAGGCTTTCTTTCTGTAACCTTATGATCCAATCTTGAAGCAACTTCACTGTTAATTTCTTCTGTCTGAATTTTTACAGGTTTAACAAGTTTTTCTAAAGCTGTCATCCTGGCACTTAAATTGACTATCTTTTTAAATAGGTAAATGAGGATAAATGTAGTAATAAACTGCATAATTTGATCAACATTAATCTTCTCATATTGTTGTTCCATTGTTAGATTGCCTAAAATTGCAAACAAAGCCCAATTTTCTTCCAATGTACACAGAAAACCCATTTTTTTTAATGTGGAAAAAATTTCTCTTTTAAATAGTTTTCTTTAAAATATCTGATATGTTAAGTGACTTACCAAGTCTGTGTAGAAATCTGAGAGAATTTCAAAACAGTCACCTAGTGTTCGAGGTGTGAATTCAGAGAAAGGGAGAGAGAGAGAGAGAGAGAGAGAGAGAGAGAGAGAGAGAGAGAGAGAGAAATGCAAGAAATCGTAGCCAGCTAAAGCTTAAATCCAGCCACGTGTTCCCTCTTGAGCCGAGTCAAGGCTTGGCTCTGGCTTCCTTAAGCTCCTACCACGTGCAT